GTCCTCCAGGGTACTTAAAGCAGGTGTTTGGTTTTCCTTCTGGGGCCACTGGAAGGAAATGTGTCCCCTCAGGGAGGGGGTTCCTGAGTCATTTTTTACCCTGAGGGTGTTGAGGCCCTGGCCCAGGTTGGGCAGAGAAGCTGTGGCTGCCCCTGGATCCCTGGAAGTGTCCAAGACCAGGTTGGACGGGGCTTGGAGCAACCTGGGCTAGTGGAAGGTGTCCCTGCCCATGGCAGGGGGTGGTTTTTAAGGTCTTTTTCAACCCAAACCATTCCATGTTCCTATCTGTCACTATGGGCTGTGAGGCAGCCACCATTCCAACTTAAATATCCCAGTCAGGTGTCCGAGGTTTGGCAGAGGGATGCTGAGCCAGAATCCCCCAGATCGCTTCATCCCATTAAACTGTTTTCCGGGTTTAATCCTGATTTTCTCTTTTCTGATCAGAAACAGCCTTTAAGCCCTGAATCTGTTTATCCCTCAATCTGATTTAGCCAGAATCAGCTAATAAACCTCCTGTTTTCTCCGACAGGATCCCAGCAATCCCGGGACATCGTCAGTGCCACGGCAGCCAGCAAGGAGAAAAACCCGTTCCCAGCTTTTCCTCCTTCCCACACTGGTTCTGTTCCATCCCTTCCATCCTAGTAAAGCATGACCCAGCCTCCCCATTCATACATTTATTCCCGTGTTCCCCGAGCAGCTCCGACTCCTCGGTGCCCGCGCTCCGCTCTCGGGGAGCTCTACCTCGTTATTATCCTCGTTATCCTAATTCCCGGTTTCATGGCCTGCAGCCACAGCCTGAACTCCTTCCCTTGCACTAATAATACACCTTTCAGCTCCTGTTTTAGCAGAGCACTCCCACTGTCCCTCACTAATTGACTCACCTGCCTAATCACTCTTCTGGTGTGTCAGCACTTTCTCTCTCCTTGCTGCCCACCCCTCTGCCCACTGACATATTTTATCTTCATTCCCTTGCTTTTTTTCCCTCTTTTTTTAAAACTGAGACTCTGTAGAGATCACCTGGATCTCTCCCATTAAATCACATCATTTTTTTTTCCCATCACAAACCAGGAAGAAAAAGCTTAGTCAGGTGGCCGTGTCCTTGAGTTGCCTGACACTGGAAGGCACAAACATTATAACAGCTGAGGTTTATTTTCCAGAACAGCTGAACAACCCTGTGGATCAGATCCCAAGAATGATGAGTTTCCAGCTACCTTAGTGCATATAAATCCAACAGCCTGGAAACTCAATTAGATCTGGAACAGGCTGCCCAGAGAAGTTGTGGATGCCCCAGTCCCTGGAAGTGTTCAAAGCCAGGTTTTGGATGAGCAACCTGGGACAGTGGATGGTGTCTGTGCCCACGGCAGGGGGTGGGAACTGGATAGTTTTCCAAAGCCAAACCATTCCAGGATTTTATGACCTTGTCACTGTTTGTCCTCTCAGGCTGCCTGGTCCCATCAGGTGTGGGGAGGGACACAGATTATTAATTAAGAGGTTGTAACAGTCACAGTTCTGGCTATCTCTGTTATTAATCACTTCCACTGAGCTCACATTCAGAGTCCTCTGTCACGTGGATCCAAGATAGAAAGAATTCCCACGTCGAAAACTTGGCAATTAACACGTCATTGGCACCAGCCACGACCTGATGTTTAAATATTCATTTTTTCCAAGATCTCTGCAGTCACCAGGAACACCTGTACTTTACATTCTCCTCTGCAATTAGCACATTAATCAGTCCTATCTCTTAATACCTTAAAGTTCACCTTTAAAAGCCCTCGGGGTTGACAGAATATTGGGGGAAGCCGAACCAGGCAGGTCCGTCTCTCTCCAAAAATCCCACTCCCAAGCAATGGCCTTTTTAAAAATTCCTCTCCAATTCTTCATTTCGAGTGACATTTCATTGGAGAGGCTTTTAGCACATTAAACCTCCGCCTGAGTAAGTCTCTGGATATTGTTAGAAAATTAATAAGGAACGTGAACGGCTTCCTGTGCGATGTGTAAGCGATAAACAGGCAGCAAAGCCGCCCTCCTCCCCTCCCTGCCTGCCAATTGCTCGGCTAAAAATAAAGGGAATGACAGAGAATTTCGGGATTGTGTGACAAGAGGAGCCCTTCAGTCACTTTGCAGCCGAGAAAAGCAAATGGCAAGTTTTTCCTCACCGATGACATTTGGATGCGTTATTAGAGCTCCCGCTCTCCTTTGGATTAGTGGAGAACGGCACTGAAATCAGGCAGGCTGCTCCTTGTGCTTCCAGGGAAAGCAAGCATGGAATTGCTGCTGCTTGCTGTGGGATTTACTCTTTTATTCCTGCCTTTTCCTCACCCAGCACCTCATCCCCTCGCCTCGTGACGTGTTGTTTTCTCGAGCCTCGCTCATAAATCACCGAGCACTGATTTTTAGGGATGTGGTTAAACAAGGACTGGGGAAGGCTGAGCCCGACAAATTTAATTGCATTTGCAACAGGAGATGGGTTTGGATATCAAGCTGCATTTTCCCTGTCAGCATTTTAATTATTTTAAGGAATGTTTGCCTTGACGTCCTCGAGCGCTCGGATTCATCGAGTGCTGAAAAATAACACCCAAATCACCACGGAACCAACGCAGGCTCTGCCTTTTGGGAGATGTTACATGGCAGAGAAACGCTCCGAGCAGAATAAATAACTCAGGAGCCAGGAAATGTGATGGAGGCACCTTTATTTTTCAGTCTAATTCAGCTTAGCTATTAGTAGAGAATAAAAACCGGTGCAGTTATTTATTGTCTGATATCACCGGGCAGTCTGGAGGTATATCCATATGGACAGCTGGATATATTGCTAATACCCACACCAGAAGGGCTTTAATTGCCTTTGAGATGGAGCTCAATAACTTTATGAAAGATTAAACGAGGTTCTGTCTGTAAAACATGGCTCGTGGAGCTGCAGTCGATGACCCTGGAGATTCCTCTCCCTCCTCCACAGTTCTTGATCCATGAGGGAAGGACTGTCAGTGCCGTGTCAGATCAGTGAGCTGCATCTTCTGCTGCTCCAGCTTCAGCTGTCACCTCCTCCTGGAGCTTTAGAGGAAGCAAATGAAATAAGTAAATAAATAAAAAAATCGGGATTTTAAGGGGAAATTCCTGCCTTGCCCTTGCTGACAACCAGCTGAAACGTGGAATGTTAAGCAGGGCTTGTAGGGAATGCCTCAGGGAGAGTGTTATCATGGAATGATTTGGGTTGGAAGGGACCTTAAAGCTCATCTTGTTCCAACCCCCTGCCTTGGGCAGGGACACCTTCCACTAGTCCAGGTTCTGGCTGTGCCAGGGGAAAGTGGAGCTCCTCATTCCCTCCTGGTACCTGAAGGGGAGCAAGGGAGGACTGCAGGGATCAGGAAGCGATGGAGGATTGCAGGGATCAGGAAGCGATGGAGGACTGCAGGGATCAGGAAGCGATGGAGGATTGCAGGGATCAGGAAGCGATGGAGGATTGCAGGGAGCCCATTGACACCCAGATCTAAAGGTGTTTATACAGAGATTCATCTCAACTTCTCCACCTGCCCAGGTTGCAGAGCCTCTCCTCAAACTCCAGGCTTCTCCTTTTGTCAGCCCGAGTGGGAAAACAGTCCCTGAGAGTCCACCACTGACCATCTCTCCTGCTGGAGATTCGGAGTGAACTGAATGGATTTCCCTCCTTGGAAAATCGTTTTAATTCCCTGGTAACAACAGCACTGTCTCAAAATGCCTGCTGCGAGATTTCAAAGGATGTCCATCACCAAGCCCCAGAGCTTGGGAATTCAGGGATCTCTGTGAGTGGGCTGGGACAGAAGGGAAGAGAAATGGTTCCCTGTCACAGGACAAGCTCATGGCCACCAAGCTCATTTGGAAAACCACTAATTTTACAGGAATTTCCTCTCAATGTGCACCTGCTGAGGACCCCACCTGCAGAGCTGCCTCCAGCCCTGGGAACAACAGCACAAGGACGTGGAGCTGCTGCAGAGAGTCCAGAGGAGGCCCCGGAGCTGCTGCCAGGGCTGGAGCCCCTCTGCTCTGGAGCCAGGCTGGGAGAGCTGGGGGAGTTCCCCTGGAGAAGAGAAGGCTCCAGGGAGAGCTGAGAGCCCCTGGCAGGGCCTAAAGGGGCTCCAGGAGAGCTGGAGAGGGACTGGGGACAAGGCCTGGAGGGACAGGACACAGGGAATGACTTCCCAGTGCCAGAGGGCAGGGATAGGACAAGAGGACAGTGGTCTTAAGCTACACCAGGGGAGGTTTAGGTTGGACATGAAGAAGAATTTCTTCACAGAAAGGGTGATTCGACATTGGAAGGGGTTGCCCAGGGAGATGGTGGAATCCCCAGCCCTGGAGGTGTCCAAGGGACGACTGGATGTGGCACTTGGTGACCGGGTGACCTGGTGGTGTTGGGTCAAAGGTTGGACTTGACGACCTCAGAGGTCTTTTCCAACCTAAATGATCCCATGATTCTGTTCAATGGGATCTTGGGAAGAAATTCCTCCCCGCGAGGGTGGTGAGGGTCTGGAATACAATTCCCAGAGAAGCTGTGGCTGCCCCTGGATCCCTGGAAGTGTCCAAGGCCAGGTTGGAGCACTGGGCTAGTGGAAGGTGTCCCTGCCCATGGGAGGGGGTGGAACTGGATGATCCTTAAGCTCCCTCCCAAGGCGAACCATTCCATGACTCCCTAATTACGCTCCCACACCGCCCTCAGGGCGGGATGGACCCGCTTCCCCCTCCCCCGCTCCATCCGGGCATTTCCGCCCTCCCCGCCCGCCAAAACCACCACCCGCGCGCGCGCCCTCCCTCACCCGCCCGGCCCCGCCCATCTCCCCTTTTCCCCCGCCCCCTTTTCCCTCTCGCCACCAATCAGCGCGCCGGAGGCCGCCCCCCGCGCCCCTCCCCCTCTCTTCCACCGGCCAATCGCGGCGCGGCGAAGGGGCGGTCCCCGCGCGTGCGCGGGCGCGCGCGCCGGCGCGCGGCGGGCGCGAGTCCTTGGCGACGGGGCGGCTCCGGCGCGGCCGCGCTGGGGGGACACCGGGACCGGGAACACCGGGACCGGGAACACCGGGACCGACCCGCCCATGGGGCCGGGACAGGACGAGGAGGAGCAGGAGGAAGAAGAAGAAGAAGAACAGGAGCGGGTCCCGGTGAGTACGGCTTCTTGGAGGCGGGAGCAGCTCCTGCCCGGCCCGAGTTGGGGGGCGGCGGTGGGGGTGTGACAGGCTGGTTCCAACTCGTGTTTCTCCTTATGCTGGTGGGATAAGTGGGCTGAACGCACCTTCTGCCCCGTGAAGGGGCTTTTAGCAGGTCGTTCTTCCATCGCAGAGCAAGGGGGGACGCGACTGAGCTGAGCCCGCCCTTCCCCTCCTGCTCCAGGGGGGGCTGTGACCGGGCTGGTCCTTCCATGCTCTGCGCTCTTCCCTGGGAGAAGGGTGTGGACCCTCCTCCCCTCCTGGGAAAAGGGCGTTTGTGTTCTGTTATTACCCTAGTTACGATTTAATAACTTTAAATTAGCAGTTATTCTGTTCTCTTTGTGCCTTGTTATGCCCTGGGGAGGGGTGGGTGTTGCTGGCTGGGTCACTGACCCTTCTGGGAATGTAGGGACAGAGGGGTTGGAATCATGGAATAATTTATGTTGGAGAGACCTTAAACCCATCCAGTCCCACCCCCTGCCGTGGGCAGGGACACCTTCCACTATCCCAGGTTGCTCCAACCTGGTCTTGGACACTTCCAGGGATGGGGCAGCCACAGCTTCCTTGGGAATTCCATTCCATTCCAGTCCCTCACCACTCTCCCAGGGAAGAATTTCTTCTTAACATCTAATCTGAATCTCTCCAGTTTAAATTTAACTGTGTTTCCCCTTGTCCTGCGTAAAAAGTTGCTGCTCCCCATTTTTCCTAAGCCCCCTTTAAGTACTGGGAGGTCCTGGAGCAGTGGAAGGTGCTGGAGGTCTCCCTGAAGCTTTTCCTTCTCTAGGCTGAGCTGGAGTGGCCCCTTGGAGCCTCTCATTCCCTGGAAAGGCTCACACAGAGCCCTGTGCACTTTGCTGTGCTCATATCAGTGCTGGAGGCAGGGAAGAGATCTCTGGAGCTCGTGTCCCATCACATCCTGCCTCCCCTGTGCTCTGGAATCAGTGTCTTCCTGCACTTCCCTCTCATGAGAGCATCGGGAAGATCCTTCCCGTGGAGTTGCACTTCTCTGGAGTTGTGTCCTGCTGTTCCCAGGGTGGTTCCCAGAGGTGTGAAGGGCTTGGGGCACCTGCTCAGGTTCTGAGTGTTGCAAAAATGTTGGGAGGTACCTTTTGTGTCGTTGAACACTTGGGGCTGGGGATGTTTGTGGATGTCACATCCATCCTTCTGTGCCAGGGAAGGTGCAAGAGGACAACCCAAAATGCAAATGAGCCTCTCAGAGCTTTCAGCCCAGAGCTCTCAAGGAACTCAAGAGGTGCCACAGCCACGTGGTGACCAGGGGTAGGTGCCACATCAGCTCTTAGAAACCTTCCTGGGAAGAGCCAGGGACTGGGAGAGGTTCAGTCCTACCAGGGAAAATAACAAAGACTAAAAGAAAAAGTAGGAAAAGGCTGTGGGAATAAATCTGATGTGTTAAAGGCAAGTCTGACTTTAAGGAGCGTGGGAATTGAGTGCAGAAGGACTTGCCCTGTGTGTTTTCAGGAAGGATAATTTGCCCCAGGACAGCAGGGATGGTTCTTGCTCTAATACTTATTCTTCTATATATTTAGATAGAAATGAAGTTCCTTTAAGTGCTGCTTTACAGACAGATTTCAACTTCATGATTCTAAGCTGTGTGTGATGTTATAAACCAGTGGATTTACCTCCTGCTGCTTGTTTTATCCATCACAAATCGAGTGGTTTTGCTCCTTTTTGGGTGTCAGGTTCTGTTGTGTGTGTTTTTTTTTTTTTTTGTTTTTGGAGGCTGTTGCTTCCTCCTGTGGGTTTGTTTTGCTCTGGGCTTTAAGTGCTGCTCTGACAACCTGAGCTTGGCTCTGGGAATTCCAGGTGGGAGCTGAGCCAAGCTTGTTCCTCCCTGGCTGCTCCTCTGGGGCCAGGGGGTGCAGGAGCAGAGTAACCCAAAAGAATCTGCTGCCTGTTTATATATTTCAGTTTTATCAGTGAAAACATTTTGCCTGTTCCTTCTTTCAGTTTATTATTGATCATGAGGATGACTTAATCCAAGTTTCTGACTTTTGCATTGAGCTAAACATAAATATTACAAATCAGATCCAGGAGCATCGAGCTTTGGGTTTTCATTCTTAAATGCTGCAAATTGGTGGCTTCATTCCAGAATGTTCATTATTCCTTGGAGATTTTACTTGTTCTAATTGGAAATGAGGCTGGATCAAGGCTCCCTTTCCCAGGAGAGCTTGGACCAGGTGATCTTTGGGGGTCCCTGTTCTTTGAGACCCAAAATAATTAGTTGAGAATTAACAGAAAGAGCTTGAATTGCAAAGATGTAATGTGGAAAATTCCAATGGTGATTTAATGTGGAAAAGATAAAAGAATGTACATTTTCTTAACTATAATTTGTGTGATACAAATTATATGATTTTAAATAATTATAAATTAAAAATCAGAGGGTACCCAGAGCTTTCTCAGTGTTCCAAAGCTGAGAATGTGAAGAAATAGTTGAGCTTCTCATTGTATAAAATAATTCAGGAGCACTATTAAATGCTGATATTGGAGGTGGGATTTGGACAGCAAAAATAATTCTTGGGGGAGAGTTACTGGCTTTGGTGATTGATTTTTGGGTTGCTGAGGTGGCCTGAACTGTTCTAATGGGGAATGAGGTTTGATCAAGGCTCCCTTTCTCAGGAGAGCTTGGACTGGGTGATTTTTGGAGGTGCCTGTTCTTTGAGACCCAAAATAATCAGTTGAGAATTAACAGAAAGAGCTTGAATTGCAAAGATGTAATGTGGAAAATTCCAATGGTGATTTAATGTGGAAAAGATAAAAGAATGTACATTTTCTTAACTATAATTTGTGTGATACAAATCATATGATTTTAAAAAATTATAAATTAAAAATCAGGGGATACCCAGAGCTTTCTCAGTGTTCCAAAGCTGAGGATGTGAAGAAACAGTTGAGCTTCTCATTGTATAAAATAATTCAGGAGCACTGTTAAATGCTGATATTGGAGGTGGGATTTGGACAGCAAAAATAATTCTTGGGGGAGAGTTACTGGCTTTGGTGATTGACTTTTGGTTTGCTGAAGTGGCCTGAACTGTTCTAATGGGGAATGAGGTTTGATCAAGGCTCCCTTTCCCAGGAGAGCTTGGACTGGGTGATCTTTGGGGGTCCCTGTTCTTTGACGCCCAAAATAATTAGTTGAGAATTAACAGAAAGAGCTTGAATTGCAAAGATGTAATGTGGAAAATTCCAATGGTGATTTAATGTGGAAAAGATAAACAAATGTACATTTTCTTAATTACAATTTGTGTGATACAAATTGTATGATTTTAAAAAATTATAAATTAAAAATCAGAGGGTACCCAGAGCTTTCTCAGTGTTCCAAAGCTGAGGATGTGAAGAAACAGTTGAGTTTCTCATTGTATAAAATAATTCAGGGACACTCTTAAATGTTCATATTGGAGGTGGGATTTGGACAGCAAAGGTGATTCTTGGGGGAGAGTTACTGGCTTTGGTGATTGATTTTTGGGTTGCTGAGGTGGCCTGAACTATTCTAATTGGAGATTAAACTTGATCAAGGCTCCCTTTCCCAGGAGAGCTTGGACTGGGTGATTTTTGGAGGTGCCTGTTCTTTGGCACCCAAAATAAGTCGTTGGGAATTAACAGAAAGAACTTCGATTGCAAAGAAATGGGCTGAGCCAGAAGTTCCTTTGGAAGTCCCTCCTCCCCCCTGGGGCACAGGCTGCCATCCACAGGGACCTTGGCAGCGGGATTAATGTTCCCAGAGGAATCTCCTGAGCTTTGGCTGTGGAAAAAGCGGAGTTTTTCTCCCTGAGGGATGAAATCCCTGCCGGTCAGTGGGGTCTGGTGGCCCCTGGGAGCAGAGCCTGAGGTGCTGGTGGGCAGCAGGGGCAGGGGGGGTTGGCAGTGCCCTCCCTGCAGCAGCCAGGCTGAGTTCATGAGAGCAAGGCTGGCAGCTGGAGGGGAAAGATTCCTTCCCTCCTTGGCCACAGCTGGATCCTCTGCCCTGGGTTCGGGCTGCCAGGACAAGGGAGGGGCCAGCAAAGGGGCTGGTGGAGACCACCAGGACAGGCAGGGACTGTGGGGCAGGAGGGGGGGGCTGGGGAGGAGGAGGAGGGGGGTGAAGGGGAGGAGGAGGAAGGGGAGGAGGAGGAAGGTGGTGAGGAGGAGGAGAGGGGCGGAAGGCAAGTAGAAGAAAGAGGAGGCGGAGGTAAGGAGGAGGAGGAAGGTGGGAGGAGGAGGAGGAAGGTGGTGAGGAGGAGGAGGTGAGGAAGGTGGTGAGGAGGAGGAGGAGGAGGAGGAAGGTGGTGAGGAGGAGGAGGAGGAGGAAGGTGAGGAGGAGGAAGGTGAGGAGGAGGAGGAGGAAGGTGAGGAGGAGGAGGAAGAGAAGGAGGAGGAGGGTGAGGAAGAGAAGGAGGAGGAAGGGGATGAGGAGGAGGAGAAGGAGGAGGAAGGTGAGGAGGAGGCAGTGGTGCTTCCCTGCTGGAACAGGGGTTGGAGGAGGCAGAGGAAGGCTCTTGGTGTGCACAGTGATGGGCTGAGCAGCAGTGGGGAGGGGGGACAACAGCAGGAATTCCGAGTGGAGACAAGGAAATCACCTTTTAATGAGGATGGGGAAGTGCTGGGCCAGGACCCACGGGCAGGGACACCTTCCACTAGTCCAGGTCGCTCCATCCTGGCCTTGGACACTTCCAGGGATCCAGGGGCAGCCACAGCTTCTCTGCCCAACCTGTGCCAGGGCCTCCCCACCCTCCCAGGCAGAAATTTCTCCTTAATATCCCATTTAACAGAATCACAGAATCACTGAAGTTGAGCCTGAATCCTTGGAAGTGGCCACAAATTGAAGGGATGATCCTAAACACCCCAATCCACCTTGGAATTAGTCCTGCTTCCAGCAGGAACTTGGCCCAGGTGGCCTCCAGAGGTGCCTGGAAACCTCAGTTACTCTGTGATTACATGAATAAAACTTGTACTTTGGGCAT